GGTTCAAAGTTTATCCGAAACTTGTTAAACAAAACGCAAAGTTTTAAATATCGACGGATTTAACATGGAAAACGTATAAATCTTACCGGAAAACTCTGAAATGAAACGCGGAACTTTTTTCTGTTTCCGTCTGCCTAGCTACTTGAAGAATTTCTTATTACATCCATTCAGAATTTCTTTTAATTATTATTATAGCTCATGCCACTTATCCACCCGAATCTTATTATTTTTTTCTCGCCTGCTTTTTTTACTCATACGTATCGTGGTGTTCTTTCTTATATTTTATGATTCCTTGATGATGAAGCACTTTGCTAGCGCAGACAAAAAGTGCTTGATGTCTCTATGTTAGTCGGCAGGTTGGGAATTGGTTGTACCAATGTACATCTGTTACTCGCACGCGTTTCGTTTTTCCTGGTGTGCGTGTTAATTGATTCTTTTTTCTCCGTCAGGTACCACCGCTCACACACATGTTACATGGACTACAACATCAGGGGCAGTCCACAAGCAGAGAAAACATACACCAAACTTACATAATGGTACACAAAACTTACAACCAATTATTTTCCTACAAATATTTCTCATTCATAGCAAATTTTAATTTTTTACAAATTTTTTCTTGTTTTTCTCGATTTTTTTCATGTTATGAATGAATTTTTAGAATTTGCATGCAACAAACATTTGCACGGTTATTCCACCAAAAACTTTACCGGAAACTTGAGCTTTTAGCATTATTATAAGAATATTCTATCCCCTATTATATAGTTTTATAGAGATAGAATTCTTGTCTGGTTAACTAGGACTTTATAATGTTTGTTACGAATTTATCTTGTTTCATATTTCAAGAATTTATTTAAAACGACGAAACAAATATTAATTAAAAGTTATATGAGCTTTCCGTGTATATGAATAATGTTAACGTAGAAGAGCAAATTTGAAACACAAAATTGCGTTCATTTAGATTTTAAATATTTAAATATTTTATTTGCGCTTCCTGAAGAGTGTGTTCTTGTCAGTTTGCGCCGACGGCTGGCTTTACGTTATTATAACACACCTAATTTGTATTTAAGCCCAAGCAAACGAAATCTAAACAAATTTTAAACAAAGTTTATTTATAAATGCTAATTTAAATCAATAATATTTAGAAGTAGATGAAAATCCTGTCAGATGGAGCTAGGTACCGCGGTTTCAACAAGTAAAAGTACGAAAACTGTAGCGCCGCAGGATTTCACATTCTCCTGCTGCTCGTGGTTACGCTATATGTGTACAGATGGCGTCGCAGGTCCACGTTGTCCTGAGAAGTTCTGTAATCTGCAAATTTCCCGCGTGAAATGTCCTTTGCGCTCAGTGCTGCGGCGATTACGTCAACTAAGCGCTTGGTCCGGGCGCGGCGTTGCAGGATCCCGTTGCTCCGGCATCTCCCGCCGCCAGCGCAGGCGGTTGTGCTCAGCTGGCGGCGAATTTCTCATCCGGTCGTCCTTCGCCCGCCAAAAACCACTGACGAACACGCCCGCTTAAAAAATCGTTTGCAATCACCTAAACATATCAAGTGTTTGTTTAAGCAGTGCGACTGTAAATTTCCGTAACGTAAATTCCTCTTTCGCTTTAAATTAAACAATGTTTCTACAACCGGCTACCACGTGTATATTATTAAGAGCATAAGTTAGCCGCGTCCGGGACTGGAATGGCTCGTACACTTACGCGTAATTGATTATATTTATTATCGTGATTTAAACCCAGCGCCGGCGGAATGCGCGCGTGTTTATGTTACCATTCGGGATGTGAGATGTGAGCAGAAGTTTATCCATTTTTGATGTTTATGCAAAGCGTAAAATTAGAATAATATGATGGGCATGTTCCGTGCGCAACGCTAAGCTTGTTGGAGCTTTTAATGTATAAAATATTAAATGTTGCTTTCGTCGGCAGCGGTAAAAAACGACATTGACCCAGACTCCGGTATTCTTGAGCACGCGTTGAGTGGAAATTCGGCCGCGTCAGCCGATTTCAATTTGCATACACAGCCTGCACAGCCAGCCAGCACTAATTTCGCTCTCGTGACTCTTGCTCCCCAGCCCCTAATGTGCAATAGAGTAATGCATGACGTTGTGCTCGTCCGTTTTGCGCCGCCGTTCGGGTCGCGCTCGAGTGATGCTCGATTCGCGTTCTAGCGCTCTAAATTTGATTGTGGACGCGCGCTACAGGCGGGAGGCGGCGAGCGGAAAGAGCCGCATGCTACCTGCCACAGCAACAACGTTCAGTGTGTCGTCGAGCGCTCCAGGCGCGAATCGCGGGCGGAGTGTCTTCGCGGCCGAAGGCGAATCGATCACGCCGGAAAAGCCAACAGACTTGTCCTTGCTGCACACTTGAAAGCTCAGGCAAACATTACCAGCAATTTGGGCGCCACTTTACAACGTGTCAACTCACATAGTGATTTTCTATGAAAAAAGATAAACCATGATTGATTGGGTGTCAATTGTAAGGCATTCGGGCCGGCGTTTTTCTAACTATATGTATGCAGTGCCAAATAAAGTACGCAAACGGCGCAAACGTAAAGAAAACGCTTCGATGTACATGCACAATTCGCACTCGTCAAATTGTTCCTGCTGTTGGGCCGATAAGGTTCAGGTCAGTTTAAATCAAATCCTGCATGAATTTCCTACCTGGGACCATAAAAAAACAAATTTTATTCCATTGAAAGCATCTTGTTTATTTCCACTTACCCTAAATTGTCCTAAATAAATATTTGCTTCTCCTCGCATCAACAATTTCTATTTGTAAAGTTCACTTTATTTTTAAATGTGTTTTTTTATCTATAGCCGATTAAACACAAACAATATTTCTATGTTTGTTCAATGGTGTTTACAAAGGAAATTTGTTGTTTCAGAAGTCTCGGTACGCTGACGATGACATGCCGCCGCCGCCGTCGCCGCCAACGGCGCGCGAGGTATCGCTGGACGCTGTCGCGCCCCCGAAACAGGGCTCGATGGAGCGGATCTCGCGCCGGGAGACACCCATCCAGCGCGATGATTTCCATCGGGAGCGGAATGATTCGCTCACTGCCAGCAAGGTGAGTTATTTTTGAATTTCCTATGCATCTGCGATACTTGTAGGTATGCTGTGTCTACTCGAGCTTGATTAATGTGTGAGGTATTCATCCAATATAGATGTAGTTGAACGAAGTGAACTACTAATTGGATGATGGATGGATTATTATCTGAGAATACTTAGTGCGCGTTTTCATTATATTAAAAGCAGCTGCGTCGCCAAAGCTGAATTAGCAAAATTTCTACAAATTATTTTGAATAATCAGACAGTCATATTTAGCTAAATCTCTAGCTAAACCACTAGACTAAACATTGATCTGTCTCATTCACTGCTTTTTGGTTTACGACTTTTTTCCAGACAGTTTTGCAACTTTAATGTTCAGGTTAGAAAAAGTGGTCGCAATTTCGCAAACAATGAAAAACGTTAAGTTAGCCAACTTTGATTTGGTCCTTCGGAATGTCCCGAATCTATTTGATCGATTTTCTGTCTCTTTTGCATTTAAGACTTTTTTCTTTTGATTGTTTGGTTAACTTTACGAGTATCATTAATTTTATTTTGTCTGATTAGTCTGAATCTTTGAAAGCCTTCAAGTTAGCACAGATATAAAAAAGCCAGGATTCAATCTTGACCAAGTCAAAACACCACTTGTAAACCTTTTAACCACAATTTTATTGCTGAAGTCGTGATTTGTTCAAGTGCAGACGATGATGATTTTTTTACGTAAATAATTTGAATTCTAAAAATAGTACCTAAATTGGTTTTGGGAATTATTGCTTTCGTAAGAATATTATGAATATTTCTGTTACTCAAAAAGTTAACAACTTTTTTAAGTAAAACACAACACGGATTTTAGCGATTTACCCAAATCCTTCTCAAATGCTTCTCATTCGTATTTGGCACCCGCTGAAAATAATACATGAACACGCACGCCGAGCGATCAGTTTCAGCCGCACAGGAGGACAGGGGTTCGCCCCCGAAATCCATTCGCAAATTAATTCTGCTCAATTTGTGGTCGAGTCACGGCCATTACTTTCCCAAATCGCCGATCGCGCGCCCATTCATTCGCGCACACTCCGTCGCATGACCCACTCGTTTGCACACGAAGGAAGAGTTCATAAATCAATGATCAACGACAAAGGTACGACCATTTCGCCACTGCACAATACCGTACGATAACAAAATTGAAAAACTTAAATGAAAAGCACACACATTTTGCTACAAATTAGTTTGATTAATAAAACGTCGCGGTGCTGCTGGTGGTCATTAACGCGATTGGCCGTAAAAGTAATTCTGGCGTGTTCGTCGATTAGTAGCGAAACCAGCAACATTACTCCGAAGCTATTTGCGGCCGCAGCGTTACATGGACAACCTTCGAAATGTTGTACCTATGCTCACGTAGTAGTAGTGGTTTTAATAGCAGTTGTGACATTAGCAAGATGGTGGTGGTGATGTGGGAAAGCGGGTTGATTTTCCACATCGATAACGTTTGGCAATGCGAGTGACGTCTGGGTTTTAAGTGCCTTGCATCCATCACTCTGGACCAGTTTTTGAAAATCAATAAATTATTAATTCTGTTTTTAAGTGCTTAGAAACATCTTTCAAAGAGAAAATCATTAGTCTATGCATAATTGATACTGGAAACTACTTCCAGTCAACAATTCAAAAGAAACCAAAGCAAATTTTGGCGTAAATGGGTCGGAAGAATCACCGAAGGAAAGAAAATAACAAAAGTTTCCTTACTGGGGATGTTTTTGTTTCGTTCAAGGCCAGATATCAGCACAAACAGATAAACATTTCGATTTTCCACATATGCCTAACATACAAATCTTTATAATACAAGAAATTCATTTCATTGTATTGACATGTTTTATACTGGTATGTTTTATGTATATTGCGTTCGGGTAGGACCTCTAGTGGGGAAATCTTCCCGAGGTTACGCGCCGGCACGCCACAGGGGCCAGACGGGGGCCGGCGTCGGCGGCGCGCTATCAGCGGCGTGCCCGCGCTGGCTGTTGTAGTGATACCGCGTCGTTGCGCACAGCCGGTCCTCGCCAACTCCGGAACGAAACCGTTCACAAACCACTATTCTCTACACACCTATAGGAAAGTATTGACAATTAAACTACGATGACCCACACTGATAACACGTGAATGTGCACGTATTAAAATTTGTGATCACAACACTCGGAAATATTTAATTCTGTAAATTCTGTGTAAATTGTGTTGAAATTGTTTCTATGGAGGAAGAATAAGCAATGAGTGATTATTGATTGTTTTCAATAAATTTTAATGTGACGATTATTGTTTCGGGGACAGTTTGTATCGCGCTGGAACGAAACAAGTGTGTCGTGTCGAGTTGACATTGACCTTAAACGTAAACACGTGCGACTTTTCAACGATGGAGTATTTAAAGCATATTAGAGTGAAACCAGCAACGAAAACTAAAACTAAAGCGAAGAACAATTGACTTGTAATAGAGTCACGCATTCTTCGGACGTCATCAGTATTATAAACGTGACTATGAACAGAAAAATTGTCCTAGTTTGAGAGTCGCTCTACAACAAACTGCGCCGGATTTTTTTACGCTCTTCGGATGAATTTGGACTTGGCTCGTTTCCATGTTTCATCTTTCGTCTGCCATCAGCATGAAACGTAATATAAAAACATGGCGAATGCTTTTTATTTTAAATTCGCTCTGAATGCTTAAAAATGTGTATCACCATAATAAAAAACACGCGGGATATTTTTTATATATGATTTTGTTCACCAAACGCAGTATTTTCGTGTAGAATCTACGATGCGTTGATTTTGTCTCGTGTACCGCATTGCAGGTTCTCGACTACTCAGCAGGGGTGTGTGTACGAGTACGTTGGGTTACGGCTATCCTGTCAAAACGCGGCAACACATTTAACGCGCGCGCGTATTTTCCTGATAAGTGGTTATGATAATAGTAATTTTATGCTATCAATAATGAGCGTCTGCGTTTAAAATTCTGATGGTAAACCGGTAAATTCTATCGTAATGTACCATAAACAGATATAATAATCATTAAATGAAATATTTGACTATTATTGCTAATGCAGGTTGGCGCTTACAATAGTTATATGGATTTGTAATCATAATTTAACATTTTATTGATTGCTTAACATAAAATACCAGCATTAAAAGTACATAAAAATTTATAGAAAGAAGGTCGCCAAAATTGTTTAAAAATTGTGAAATTTCCGTCTCAATGTTACATAAAAATAAAAATAAAACAGTAGAAATTTAGGTAATTATTGCAACATTGTATGTTTTTGCTACATTTATGTAATTTGAAGTTATTTAATTATAATGTAGGTATTAGTACAAGTCGTGAAGGTGGAAGCGAACACGTTTTATGTCAGCAATTAGACAAATGCACGTGCGTGTGTTGTCCCGCACCGACGAGTAAATAATTCATGCGCTTCACCTGACCTGTACCATATGATGGCAAACATAAAAATGAGGTCACGCAAGAATAAACAATTTTTACATATCCAGATAATAAAACGTGATCTTTATCATAAAACTCACATTCGTTGTTTTTACTACATATTTTAGTTGCAATTCACTCGAAAAAACTTTATCGAAAGTTTCTCTATTATTGATATAATGATTCATATTTTTATAATCTTTAGAATTATAAAGTGCGACCTATAAATTCAAAATCGATAAGAAACTGCGATGATAACAGATGGTTTTAATCATTTTTCGGTGGATATATGATCAGTTTGCGTGAGGAGAGGTCGGTTATTGAATGATTCACACGTCAAAACACGAATAAAGGTACGCACGATACCTGAATGTATTTGATACCATCTCAAATAGAATTACTTTGTTCAAAGTTACTCGCTACGTGGATACGTAATGTGTTATCGATTCAATGGTTGACACTGAACTACATACGGAAATACTTGTGTTAGTTCCTAAAACAATAATTAAAGTGTTTTGAAAATATTACATTTAATAATTATCAATAACAGTCAATAACAACGAATAAGTGACTGATAAAATAATAATTTATTAAATATTTTCATATTTTGAAAAAAAAAATTTTTTAATTCTATGGTAATTATTGCAAATCCGAAAGTTAGCTATCAGCACAACGTGTTGGAAATAATTAACAAACGTTTTTCTTAAAACCGTGCACGTGCGTTCCCGCTAATTACAGTTGCGCAACGCGTCGTCGCTCTTAATATTCATGCATATTGTGCACATTTGTGAGTACGTGACAATAATAAGTCTTCCAATGGCACGCAATTTTGTTAGCAGTTCCGTCTCGCTAAACTAATCCAGGCAATCGCAAAATAAAAACTAAAGTAATTACCTCTACATGCGACAAATTAAACAAGTAATTATTGGAAAATATTTAATTGTTTGTTGGTCCATGTAATAACATCTAAATCACGCAAACTTATAAGTTATGTTATGTTATGTAAGATTTGAGTAAAGTGGAAAAGTTTAATTATTAGTTTATTCTTTTAATTAATCTCAAAAGTTAAGTATAAATATCTGCTTTAGGTGTTTTTTGCAAGACGTGAATTATTTGTTTGTTTACGTTTTCTCGTTGCGCGCGTAAAATCAATAATCCAACAGGTTTTGAACGCGGCGATTTTCCACGCCGTGGAAAACCGTTTAGCGCGCTCTAGCGGCTGTAGCACTGAACTTAAAAACCGCGCGCTTTTCCGGCTAGGAGGCGCTGGCGGTACTTTCAAACTCGTCGCGACAACGGAAAATCGCAGCGCCGACCTTATCGCGGCGAATTTTTAGTAAACAACATTGAGATTGTTGTTATGCTAGTCGTCGACACAATTCCCAACGTAGCGTACTCGTACCTCGCGAGAATACTTATATTTACAACGTGTTGCAACGTTTGGTGAACAAAACATTTAAATTTTTAATAAATATTTTAGTGTTTCACATGTGTGAGGTGAAAATGACGTTGTGATATTATTAATATGGTAGTAGGATTTATTTGATTGATTGTGATGAAGTTGTGAGGAGTGATTTTTTGTGGCAACTGTGTAATCAGCGCAGGCAAAGTGCGGCGGTTTCGCAGCAGTCGCGTGCAACAAGTGCGTTGTTCTTGTAACACCAACGGGAAGGATCGACAAGGTGCTAGAATGCCCCCGATCCTGCGCACGCCCGATAAGATGTGCTCGCTGTGTCCGCGCCGCAAGCACACACCGAAGAAGTTGGTGCGTTTTGATTCCATTATCGCGACGTACGCCACGTACGGTGATGGCACACCAACGAGACGGGTAAGCAAGCAGACGATTATCATTTGTAAAAATAAGAAAAAAATTATAGTGCAGTGCACTTCACGACTAGACTTTATTTCTATTGTAAATCAGTCAAGTGGAATATAACCCTTTCTTTTTTTTGTGAGGATTTACTCTATAGTTTTCGATCCAAGTTAAAATGTCTTCTGGTCTTAGACCAGTAAAACTCTAGACGAATGACTGATGCCACTTGCAGGCGATCGGCATTTAGCTTTCACGCGACAGGCTTTTACGGTTTTAAGTGCCTGAAATGACATCAATTTAAAGCGGAAGACAAGTCGAAACGTCTTCTACTTACTTCACAATCATTCTCAAGACTTCGGAATCAGATTTTCTTTCAAACCAGAGATTTAGACATAAGTGGCCTTGGTTTATTGTTTTAAAATTCAAGCGATAAAAGACTTCGTAGGTTTTGTTATTTTTCCTTCAGGAAAATCTGTGAAATGAATGGAATGAAATGCGCGATAAGGCAATAAGAAAACTTGCCTTTTCGTCAAGTTTCTTTAGTCGTTCGTTTATTTTTTGTGCTGCAATAGCAATTCTCCGCAGCACGGATTACACCACAAAATCGACATTATAAGAGTTAACAAGATGCTTTAAAAACACAATCGAAAGTTTTAAATCTCCCCAAAGGAGAATTACAAGATATTTTCAATTTTCACAGCGCTAACAAAGCGATATTGATTTAATCTGCTGAATGGGTTGTTGCACTTTCGTTTTTTTCGAAAATATTTTTTGTGTTTTATCAATGAATAATATTTTCGCACCTTCACTTGCCTTGCAAAAGCAAATACACTACACAGCGCATTACACCTCTTATCAGCTTGAGTAAATAAAAATGCCAATGCCACGATAATGAAGTCTACTATTTTTAAATTGCCTAAATTTTTGCTTTTTCACTACGTGTAGCAGACGTTAGCAACGCTAATGATTTTAATTTTTAAATATTTTTTGCTATTTGATTTGCAAGCGTTGCACAATTTTCAATTTGTAAATTTTTCCTCCGACGTTGTGCCATTTGCTTGAAGTGTTTCTGTTGGAGTGTTTGTCGATATAATTGCGATTCGCCTCGAGCGGACGACGGTACGGCGCTGATGGAAAAAGCAAACAAAATCAATCAGTAATTGATTTGGGGGTTGAACCTGTTGTCGAATAAATCATCACCTTCGCGACGGCGTTCCAGCGCGAGCTGTGAAAGGTTTTTGCTCGTTACGCGTTGATTAGTTCTCCACCCATGGACATTATTTTCTAGGATAGACCATTCGCACCTTTACTTTGAATTGTTTATTTTATTTATTAAACTAAAAAATAATGAATTTATTTTTTGCGTTTAAATATAAATAATGTGACACCCAATGTCGACGACGTAAAATTTGATTGAACATTTGGCGTGACAAAATAGCGCCCCGTTTAAATCCTGCTTACATCTTAACTTCATTTTCAATATACATCCGGCTTGCCGACAACGACGATTCTACTCCCCTCTACAGTATAGAATGAGTGGGAAAAGCGTCCAAACATTTTCGCATCTGCCGTTGTCGTAATCGAATATTTCTCTCCTCGCCTCGACGCTTTTCTTCTCTTCTCCTCGGCTCTCATCTCGCTGCACACCACTTTCATTCAATTTTCCATTTCAGTCTGCTACACGCACTCACACACACAATACGCGTTTCATTTCTTCTTTAGCTCCGTTATCCTTTCTTCCTTTTTTGCTTGTTTTCATCGCCACGCAGGGAGAAGCGGTCTGATATGGATGTGTACGCACTTCAGCCGTCTTCTCCATCTTCCGATCCATTGTTTCCGTAACGTGATATATGTGGCCATTATTATTTAGCGATAGAAGTGGAAATTGATTGTATCGCCGAAACCCATTATCGAACGTCATGCGTGTTTGACACCTTTGAAATGCACTTCCCAGTAGTTCTTCGCCTCCGTTTCATCTCGAATGTGTAGAAAAGATCGGAAAAGTAATAGCGAATACAGACCGTAGAGACATGCGTCATCAGTTATTTTTAACATGAATATAAAAAGCGACTCGTGTTTTGAATACATTTCTGATAAATGTAATTCAATTTTTTTGAATTCAATATTATGTTTCTAGTTTTTTTTCGTCTGCATATTTACGTATTTTTTGCGAGTATTTTAAATATTATTTTATATATAAAAGTGATGTTTTACGAGCCACTTTTTTACGATGGATGTTCAGAAAGATTTTTTTCATATTTCGGTTATAACCCAATGCGACAGATCGCAAAAAGACGATAGAAGGATGCGCGCGTCGTTGCGTTTTACCTATACACAATTTTATAGCTCGTTTTATATCCCTGCATCAATACTGATTGCGCTGCATAAATAAAGTAATAACTGCAAGGGAAACTTTTAACACGGGTAAAAATACTGATAAAAACCTGATTCTCAACTTGAAATATTTTGCTACAAATTTTTATAATAAAATTGCATCAACACGTCAGCGCCTGTTTTGTTTCACATCGTGAATATTTCTACATATTATTTTATTAACAAAAATTGTTTTTTTTTCATATTTTCAATTCGTTGAAAAAATATTTATTATGTATGAATAGACCAATTTTAGATAGGAGAATGTGTAATTTTCGAATCTGCATACGAATAAGCTTGATTATTTTTGTCACTGTTCGTTTTTTATGCCACATATAAAAAAGTTGTGGGGCTATAACAATTAACAAACGTTGCGCGTTTTTATTTGTTTGCATTTCGTGTGTCGCCTTTGTTTGACAGAGTATTTACGAGCGATTGTGTACAAGCCTGATGTTAATACACGCAAAGCGTAAAATTTTTACTTCAATCAATTTTTTTTGTTTTTCATGTTTGCACTGCATAAATGAAATTTTTCATGATGCGTAAATATATATTTCTGTATTTAGTCGCAATGTCCAACTAGTGCGACCATTGAAATAGTTTGTTTGCTCGCCACTTCACTGTATGCCAATGTTCCATACGGTGGACGCGCCGGGCATCAAACACAGGCTTCGCTGATGGCAATAGAAAATTGAACATGCAAGGACTGAAGCATCCGTGGCAGCTTGCAAACATTGCACAACCACATAATACCACTGCCAGCGTGCGAATAAATACGACCAGCGCATAATAATAATAACCAGCAAATGTGACGGACAACATTAGATAGCAGGGTATAATAGCCATCCGCACGCGCCGCATGCACATGCCGAAAATGACTGGAAATCGAAACCGTTCAAATTGTTCTCGTATTCACTCGTATCACTCGCGTACAAGTTTACTATGGTTGGGTTACAATGCGTTGCACATTCCGCGCATGGCACGAGCATTTCGATGGGGAGTTGAAATCGGCACTCCGGGGAAATTATGCGGTATCAGCTGGCGGATCGGAGCATTTTGTGTGAATTAAGCACATTTCACTTCATTATTAGTGATGTCGCCATTAAACATTCTCGCGTGCCGTAGCGCCGCTGGAATGCGATGGAAAGTCAAGTCAGAAAATCAACGGAGAGGGGAATGAGGTTAAGAAGGCGAGGGTGCAAGGATGCGGATCAGGAAGGCAGGAAAACAATTGCCTGACGTTCTAATTAACTAAAATCAGAGCGGAACTAAAATTGCTGATAGTTGCAACTCTGGCAAGATAAATTTCCTATAATTTAAGTCTTAATCGCAACGAATAACATACATTTCTGTTTATTTTTAGATATTTTTGCTTGTTTGTTAGTTAGTTTTCCACACCAAGAGTCAAAATAAATCATAGTTAAGTGCTTTATCCGCCAGCACACTTTATCTACATGTTGCGAGGCAAAAGTTACGCATTCTAAAGTGTACACAAACTTTTTTCGGTGCTTTATGATTTCTTTTCGAAATGTGCTCCAATTTCACAGGTTGTATCAACATTTTTACAGCCGCTGGCAAGACAAGCTGTAAAATTCATCGTTTTTAAAGCTGCAATTTCTTCCATTAAAACATAGTACATTCTGTTGGAACACGTTCCGCGCTAGTAAAGTGCGTGTACAGAATGCAATAGCGCTCGCGCAACACGAAACATGAGCAAGGATCGCCGGAAAAAAAGAAAAACGCAAACGTTTAGTGGCGCCAATGAGATTAATAACTTTCCACTTTTACCGCCCGAGTTTACCACTCGGCCATTCTTTATCCTGCCACGCGCTCGGTTTTTTCCCGCCTCTGCGCTCCGGATGAGACATTTGGAATTTAGAATTTTGGTTTTAGAATTTATTTCGGCTACATTTTGGAGATCAAACAAGCATTTCTAACGTGTTCAATATTTGATATCTTTTCAAGTACCTACGTGTATGTCAAGTACAAATGTATTGCTCAATTTCATTTAGGAAGGATATAGGTTGTTGCTATAATATTTTCTATGACAAAATAATTTATTTTCGATATTTAAAAAAAAATTGCATATTTTGATGTGCGAATAAGTTTAATCATTTGCACATTTGATTTTTTTCTATATTTTTAATGTTACCGTGCAGATTGTAAATATTTTATGTTATGAGTTCTAGTCAAGTTCGGTAATTTAATATCAAGACTTGGAGCTCGACATTTTCCAATTTTCTTTGTGTTTATACGAAAATGAAACAATCGATTGGTATTTGATTAAATCTCATCATATACAAAAACCGAATTAAATTTTGTCCCTCGCGTTTCGCTTCCCATCCTTCGTTAATCCAATTTTGTAAGTCCTTTTTAATATGCAATAATTCCGTGTCCTATATATACAAGACATTTTCCACTTTCTAATTCCGTAAACTTTTGTTTTTGCGGCCTAATTTTCATATCAATGACGTTTTCATTTTCGTTCATAAAAGAATGAATAATTTTCAATCAAAGTTTGTTATTCTCGCATTGAGATTGAAGTTTCTGGAACGTCGGAGGTAGATTCATTAGGGATGATGTAAACGTAACGAGTCACGTCTAGCGTAAGAATTTTACAACGGCGGCGCCGTCCCGCTTTA